CTGGCCCTGGTTTGGGGTGACCCTCAGGCACTGCGTGGTCTCCCCAAATCGTGGGGCTGGTCTTCTGCTCGCCCGGCGGGTGGTAAGCGCATCCCTCCCCACTGCCCCGGTAGGTAAAGGCAGACAAAGACAGCGCCAACCTTTGCAAGCTCCAACAAGCCTCCCGGGGCGTCAACCAGGCCACGGCCGGCGTGGTGGCCTCCACCAAGGCTGGGAAGTCACAGGTGGAGGAGAAAGGTAAGCTGGGGCTGTGGGAGCATAGACCTGCCCCGAAACCTCTGCTTTTCGCGCTCGCCATCTTTGGTTGTCTGTGCCCTGGTAGTCTCTGCCTGCGGCTGCCCCTCGCTGCCTGCATATCCCGTGGTGGCAGACCCTGCCAGTGGCGTGGGAGTTGCCAGGGGGGGTCCAAGCTGGGGAGCGGAGCTCGAGGGGGGCTGGTGGTGTCTTTCTCCACAGACAGCATGGACTTCTCCAGCATGACGCTCACCCAGATCAAGCGTCAGGAGATGGACTCACAGGTAGGAGGTTCCCCCACGCTTTAGGAGATGCACCCACTGGTGCCTCATTTGGGCTAACGAGAGGCTGCCCAGGCTGTAGGAGAGGAGGGTGGGGGCACCAAATGCGGTGGGTGCGGGCACCCTGCCCGGCTGCCTGGCCCCGGGCACCTCCAGCTTGCGGGGAAAGCCCAAGGTGTGAAAGCAACGGCTGGGTTTGCCCAGGAGCCGCATGCAGTTGGTCCTCGAACCTTCCCCGACGCTGTCCCCATCATGGCACAACAGCCCAAGGCCTTTTCCTTGCTCCTGCGTGCCCGCCGGCCTGCCCCACAGCCCCCACCTCCACCTGGCACGGGGCATCCCCAGGGAATTCCCCTTCCCGGTGTGGCCCACGCGGGTCGCTCTGCCTTCACCTGCCTGCACAGGCAGCGCCCACCTGAGCTCCGTCCCCTCCCCAGGACCGTTTGCCATTGGAGCACTCACAGGGTGTACCTCGGTGGTCTTCGGGCTTGATATCGGGGAGATAACGGGTGTGAAAGCGGGGTGCCCTGCCCCGCACGGCTCCGTGCCAGCTGGAGCACCTGGGTGCTGCGCCAGGGCGCAGGGTGGCCATGGCATGCTTGATGTCCTTCAGGTGCGAGTGCTGGAGCTGGAAAACCAGCTGCAGAAGGAGCGGCAGAAGCTGGGGGAGCTGCGCAAGAAGCACTACGAGCTGGCAGGAGTGGCGGAGGGCTGGGAGGAGGACGGTGAGTGGATCCCAGTCCTGCTCCGGCCGGGAAGCTGCTCTGGGAAGGAGCAGGGTAGGATGGGGAAGCCCTGCCTGCAGTCCAGGCAGCGAGCGGGCGTGGGTTTCACTCTTGGCTGGCACAAGCGGAGCCCGGGGATAGTCGGCACACATGGGCAAAGCCACGGGGACCCTGCCCTGTGCCTGTGGGACCCGCATCGCCCCTGGGCAGGGTGCTTGGGTGCTGCTGGGGCTCTGCTGCCCTGTGAAACCCTGGGGTCCCAAAGGGATGGGGCGGAGGGATGCTGGGGACACCGCGTTGCTCCACACCCCCTTACCCTCTCTCCCCTCTCCAGCTGCGGATTAACACCCGCGGCGGAAGCAGCCTGCAGGGGACACCCCCACGGCGGGCTGGGACCCAGCTCAGTGCAGCCTTTTGGGAAGATCCACAATAAACCGGTGCAGAAGCCACCCTGAAGCACACATCCTCC